TGTAGGAAATGGGAGTGAGGGGTGGGGTGCGTCAGAATCTCCTTGGATGGTTTGAAAAGAAGGCTCATTCCTGAGCCCCCCCGGGAGCCTCCGTGTCAGGGAAGGTTGGCCAGAGTCAGGTGCCCCCTGGTGGCTCAGGTGTGCACGCAGACTGTCCCAGTCTTGGCCAGTGCCAGCTCTGGGAAGTTTGGCCCATGCTCTGCCATGTCCAGCTTTCATTTAAGGTGTCTTGTGCCATAGGGGAACCTGAAACCACCCCATGGGCATCGCCGGGGCCTATGACCACTGACGGCTACCTTGGGGTCTTGGCAGGAAGCTTCCAGGGCAGTGGGAAAGGACACTCAAGGAGCAAGCAGAGGTCCCTCTGTCGGGGTATCCGGACAGAAGGAACTTCAGTTTGCTGAAAAAAGAGCCCAGGACCCTGTAAGGAGGCATGTGAGCAGAGTGGAGGGGGAGTGGGGCTGGTGTGGGGCTTGCTGCTCCAGAGGGTTAGGGGGCCCTGCAGTCAGAGCTCTGGCCTGGTCTCGGGTCCTCCAGCTCCTGGGGACAGCTCAGCAGCTGGAGGGCAGGGCTCCCACCCTAGGAAGGCCTCCCTCAGTGGGCTCCTCATCCCCTTCTGGTCCCTAAGAGGAAGGAAGTCGTCTCTCTGGGCAGAAACACAAGTGGGTGAAGGGTGTGTGTGGAGTGGGATCCAGCTGGAGATAATGATAGTACACAGTGTCCCCCACCCCCGGCACCCCCAGGCCCATCCTGTCTGGGAGGAAAGCAGCTGATGCACTCATCCTCACCGGGGTGTTTGAAAGTTCCAGGGGAATTTTCACTGTAAAAGAGAAGTCTGGATAGAGGAATGCATGATCAAAGGAGGACTTCACTCCAGTGAGATTTCAGGTATCCACAGGGGGCCTGTTTTTTTGGTCAGGGACTCCAAGGCAGAGTAACCCCTCCTCGGCTTCAGCCAATAAAAGAAAAAAGAAGTAACAACGGGGCATCCATCTGTTTCTCCTCCCACGAGACGGAGGATATTGGCAGCGTGGGGCCAGGGGTGTTCTGAGTGCTAGGATCACGCTGCCATCGTGCTGGCACCATGCTAGGATCCTGCTAGGATCATAGCCAGCCCTTAGTAACAGCCATTAATGTCACTTGCCTGCCTGGTGATATTACATTGTCTCATTAAGCTGTCAGAGCCACTCCGTGGGATTGTAATTGTCGGAGATGGATAGATGGACGGTAAGATGGAGGTGAATGGCCTGTCGCCTACTTGCACGTGGCAGAACTGGATTCAAATCCATTGTCTGTCTGACCCCAAAGCCTAACTTGGCTCCTAAACCATTTTCTTCGGCCCGCTACACTGCTCTGCAGTTATCGAATATGACCACTGGGGGCCGCGATGGCTCCACACACTAGTGGTCTCATCAGTTCGCTCCTGAGAAGGAAGGCCACTTTTGTAAAAAATTCATCACCATCGCTCTCCTCTGACTTACCACAATAATAACAGCTCCTATAAATTAAGCAGTTACTATGTGCCGGGCCCTGCACTGAGCACTTCACGTGCGTTATTTCATATATTCATCACACCAGCTCTATGATTTGTTTTTTGTTTGTTTTTTAAAGATTTTATTTATTTGCGAGAGGGAGAGAGAGCTGGAGCAGGGGAGTGAGGGGCAGAGGGAGAGGGAGAAGCAGACTCCCCACTGAGCAGGGAGCCCGACATGGGACTCGATCCCAGGACCCTGAGATCATGACCTGAGCCAAAGGCCGACACTTAACCGAATGAGCCACCCAGACACCCCAGCTCTATGATTTTGAAACACCACTGTGTTTTGCAGATAAGAAAACTTAAGATTCCAAACCAGCTCTGTCTGTCTGTCTTCAAAGCCCATCTCTTAGCCACATCCTCCATGGAAAGCACAAATTCGATGCCTGGAGGTTGCCACTGGCTGGCAAGCTGGTTTTGCTTTGGCCAGCGCAGTGTTTTATTTATTTTTGAGAGAGAGAGAATGAGAGGGGGGAGGGTTAGAGGGAGAAGCAGACTCCCTGCTGAGCAGGGAGCCCGATGCGGGACTCAATCCCGGGACTCCAGGATCATGACCTGAGCCGAAGGCAGTCGCTTAACCAACTGAGCCACCCAGGTGCCCCAGCAGCGCAGTGTTTTAAAGCATGCTGAATTTAAATGCCTTTTGGCAGGGTCGTCACTTGCCACTCACACTTCCCACTCAACCACGCCCTGCCCTGTCGTCATCTGTCTCATTCCTTTGTTTATGTTACCTGCCCAACTCTGAGGTCATCTGAATTTGCAACTCCCATTTATGCTAATGACATTTCAGGGACTGGAACCTGATCTAGAGAAAAAAACCAAAGGGGAGCTTGGAGGTTTAGGAAGGCACCCGAGAGAGATGCCAAATGGTTGTGGCCGGTGTCATTCTGGGGATGGGGGAGGCAGCCCTGTCCTGCGCTCTCCCCTGAGCGTCCCGGAACAGAACGTTCTCCGAGTCGGTCCAGCGTGCTGGCCCCGCGCCAGATGTGTGGGCCTCCTGGGACAGCCGGTGGTGGGCTGGAGGCAGATGTGGCTTGTTTTGACTCCCAGCGGCGTGATCTGGCTACTTTATGTACCCAGGCGAATCCTTCCAGAACTGGGTCACTGACGATTTCCTTTGGCCTGGCCCATGAGCCAGTGGTTGGACTTCACCCTCGTTGCAGACTTTCTAATCAATACCAGCCACCCTGTCTGTCAGGGCTGCACTGGTTCTCCCCGGTAACTCATGTAGAAGCCTGAAGCCCCGGTACCTCAGAATGTCCCTGTCTTTAGAGATAGGTCCCGCAAAGAGGTGATCTTGGCCTTCCACAACAGACATTCTCTCACGCTCTGGGGTCTGGAAGGCCGAGATCAAAGCGTCGGCCGGGTTGGGGTCACCTGAGGCTCCTCTCTCTGGCTTGCCCATGGCTGCCTTACCTCGTGTCCTCACGTGGTCTCTCCTCTGTGCACAAGAGCTCTTCGTGTCCCCCCCCCGCCGCCCCGCTATGACCAAATTTCCTCTTGTTGTAAGGATACCAGTCCAGTTGGATGAAGACCCATCCCAATGGCCTCATTTTACCTGAATCACCTCCCCCACATGCACACCAGCTACACAGACACACCACATGCACATAATATTTATCTTATGTGCACCACGCAAACCACGCACAGACACGCACGCTGCAGACACAGGTGCACAGCACACACATGCATGCACACAAGTGCAGGTGCAAACACACCACGTGCACACCTCACCCATCGCACACACACGACACACGGGCACATGACCCACTGGCACACCGCACAGTACACCCACACTCGCACCACACGGTAAACCCAGACACACACCACCCTCAACCACCCCCAGCGCACAGGGAGCCTGGGCTGGCCCTGACCCAGGATGTGGATGCTGAGGTCAAGGGTTTGAGAACACGCACTGCCATGTGGCTCACCTTCAACCTGAGGGTAACTGTCTCTGTTCCTAACTTAGAGATCCCCACGCATGCTGTTTGGACCCAGCCGCAGCTTCTTCCAGAGAGAATTCTCCCAAAATTCTGGATGAGAATCACAATCACAGAGCCACAGCGTCTGGGGGTCCCAAATCAGAAAAGCAGGGCATCCTAGAACCCCAGGTCAGTCCTCCAGCTCACCCCCAGTCACTGGACGGGGCACAGTCCCAACATCGCCTCACCCTGGAAGACTTTGTGGCCTCTGGTTAGGCTGGGCGCCCCTCTACTGCATTCTCCTGGCCCCTCCCCCTTTCGGACTTGGCACAGAGTGTAATTTTAGATTTTTATGATTTATAATATAAAGTTATAATTTTATAACTCAATATCACCGTTTTCCTTCTCTGCCTCCCCAGTTAGCCCTTAAGCTCCTAGGGGTGGGATCTGTGTAAGACTCCCCCAGCATCACCGGTGCTCGGCTGGGGCAGAGAGTAACTGCTCACCCGTTTGTAGTCGTGCTGGATGAACACATGGAATTTCAGTACAGTGGACTCTTAAGAGTAACGGAAGGCCCCTCCGTGCCGTGTTGCCCATCTTCCAATCGAATGTGGAACCTCCTGTGGGCCCTCCGGGGAGCAATTAGTGTTGGACAATCTTGGGACCAGCCACCCCTTCCGGGTCCGGAGGCTCTGCCTTTGCTCAGGCCGTGCCTCTGCTGCGGTTCCAGGGTGTTTGTGGGAGAAGGCGCGGGGTGGAGGGATCTGAAGCAGGTGCGTGGGCCTGGGAAGGGCTGGCTCCGTGGACAGTGGGGTGGGCTGCAGGGGCTGCCAATCCTTACAGTGTCGGGGGCACGGCTCTAGGGTCAAAGCAACAACACGTGGCCTCGAAGTGTGGCGGGTCCAGAGCACAGACTGGCCTTGGCAGCTTGGGGGTGCCACAACCCCCGACACCTGCAGGCAGGGTATTTAGGCTCCGCTTGGGCATCTCGGAGCCCCCCTTGCCACCGAGAGGCCAGCCTCAGCACGCAGACGCCTCCAGAGGCCGGCGCAGCAGTGGGGGGCCGGGGTGGGGGGCTCTGCTCCGAGGCGAACACCTGATAGCCTGGCGTTCATTATTTTGGGTTGTCTGCATGGATCCCAAGGATGCTGTTTTCTCACATGTCGAAGCAGGAGTCGAATATTAAACTAAGTCATCACTGTGTTACTGACAAGCTCCGAGCAGGAAAGGAAATTGTAACCACATGAAATATTTATGCTTCACATAGCAATGATGCTGCGGGCAGCGTGTTGTTTTTGTTGTTGGTCTGGTTTTCTTTTTTTCTTTTCCAAAGTGGATTACAAAATGCCCTCCAGTGAGGAAACTGCTCTCAGAGAGATGGTGCGCCAGCCCTGGGGCTGTTTTCTGGGAGAAGGGAGGTTTCAGGATCACAGAGGGAGAGGCCCTGAGAGTGGACGGGGGAGGGGGAGGCTCCTCCTTCTGGGTCACTGGTCCCCACCCCAAAGCAGCCATGTAACGAGGCCCAGCAGGGGCAGCTCCCCAAAGCTCCTCCATACCAAGAACTGTTATTTTTCCAGATGCAGTTAAAATCGTCACATAATTATTTATTACATTTTTTTTGTGTAAGTGTCACCACCTAACATCTGTCAGGAAACCTGGGTTAGAGTCCCTTGTCTGGGCTGCCCCTTACATTCAGGTTTGGAGAAGCCCCCCGCCCCCCCACCCCAGGCTCCCTGAACCCACCTCTCGCCTCCACCAGACGGGGAGCCTGCCCCCTGCATGGCCAGTGCTCTGTGCCCATAACCCCTGCTCATCACCAGACTGGCGCGTGTTGGTGCCACCGTCCTCCTACTTCCGGAGGCGACAACACTGAGGCCGGGGTGGCCCTGCCGTCTGCGCAGATCGTTGGGGAGAGTACATGGCAGGTGAGCCTGGGCCCCAAGCCCACTGACATCAAGGGCTCTGTCAGCCCATGGAGCTGCCACCAAACGCCTTGTCCAAAGGCCTGGCTCCGGCTTGCCAAGGGCACGAAGAGACAGACGGATTTTCAACTTTTCAGAAGTTTTATTATAAAGAAACTGAGAGAAGCACTGGGCACCGGGACGGACACTTGCCAGGGCCAGGAAACTGCTGCAAACAACGTTAAGAACCAAAACCCAAACCAAACCCGAAAATCACACACACGTTATGATACACTGCATTTCTCTTCTCAACTTGGCTTCATAAATAGACAAAAGTCGTTGTTGGCAATTTTAAATAGACAGACACGGGGTTAAAAACGAGAAAAAAAAGCGCAACGTCTCCAAGTGTGGCTCTAAGCGGTCCCGCTCTCCCTGTTACAGGGACGAACACAGTTCGGCAGCCGCTTTTGTGCTCATCCCCAAGAGAAAACTTAAAAAAAAAAAAAATATGTGCTAAGGGGTCATATAAAATGCTCTTCACCTTAAAGGAAACTACTCCCCTCCCCCACAAAATCATCTTATCGACGACGTCTTCAGCACGGTTTCTAAAACACTTAGGCAACTACTTACATGGAGCCAACAGTTTAGAGGTTTGGTGATCTGTGTTCACTCGGTGAAGCCGCATTCGCATGTCCTCGGCCAGGTGGCCGGGCCCATGCCTCTGGGGTGCGTTTCGGTCAGAAGGCGGCCCCTCTGGGCGGGGGAGCCCCGGGAGCGTGGGCTGGGGCCGGACGTCCAGACACGGAGCACGGAGTGCAGGGCGAGGGGCGGGGTCCGCAGTAGCCCTGGAGCAGGCAGGTGGGGGGGGGGCAGGAGGTTCCCGCGGGCGGGCGGGCGGGCCGCCTGTGCAGGGTCTGCTGGGAGGTCGAGGAGGAGACTCGGCCCTGGGGCGTCGTCCTGGTGTCACTGCTTTCTTCCCGGTCATCCTGCTTCCTGCCCGGGCTTCCCTCCTGCTGTGGGCCCTTCAGGCTCTGAGCAGTGCCCCTCCAGCAAGCCTCAGGGAGGACAGGGGAGGCGGGATTAGGTGAGGTAGAGCGACTTATCCCTGGGGAGCAGGCTGGGGAGAGAGGAGGGCTGTCAGAGCCTTGGGAGCCCAGCTGGGCCTGGGGGCGGCGCCAGGCCACCTGCTCACTAGCCTCAGCCCCACCCTGGAGGTGCCCCCTTCAGCCCCAGCCCGGAGGCGCCCGCCGCCCCTCTGAGCAGGTGCGCGCGGGTCCCTCCCCGACGGTCGGGCCATAAGCCACCAGCCCAGCTCCCCTCCTGGAATCCCCTCCTGGAATCACCCCAGGTGATCCCCAGGCCTCCGCGCTGCGGGAAGGTGGTCCCAACACTGCCCAGCTCTCGGTTCCGGGTCCGAGCTTAGTCATTTGCAAGCTTCACACAGAATCACAGGAAGGCAGGCGCCTTTTGTGTTTTTAAAATAGGGCGCTCCCTTATCGAGAGCCACGGGGGCCTTGAGGCCATCATGCCAAGTGAAGTAAGTCCGAGGAAGACGAGTAGCGGAGAGCATCGGGTGATCTCACTTACATGTGGGACCTACGCAAACCCCAAACCAAGCTGACAGAGCCAGAGAACAGAATGCTGGTTGCCAGGGGTGGGGGGATGGGTAAAATGGGGGAAGGGTCAAAAGTATAAACTTCCAGGGAGAAGATGAATAAGCCTCGGGGATGCCATGTGCAGCGTTGGGACTACAGTTAATAATACTGCATTTTTGTAAGTTTCTGTATTTGAAAGTTGCTAAGAGAGTAGCTCTTACAAGTTATCACGGGACAAGGAAACCGTCCGTAAGCGAGCGGCCACAGATGCTGCCTAGACTCAGGCGGTGATCAGTCCCCAGCACACACCAGCCTACTGCAGAGCGTATGCCGTACACCTGCAACTAATACGCCAGTTCTCCCTCATTAAAAAAAAAAAAATAAGTAAGGCAGGGCACTGCAGTGGTCTGCCCTCCGTGTTGGGGGGAAGCTCGGACACGTTCCATAATGTCCATTAAAGAGCCCCCAGCCCCACACTCTGACTGGGAAGGGAGCCTGCGGCAGGAGGGTGGGGTGGGAGGGTCTGCACCTGCGGGGGGTTGGGGAAGGGGATTCCGGCTGAGCCGAGTCCACCTGCACAGGTAGACGCCCACCGGGCACCAGGCACCGGCCGTCAGCCGTGGGCCACGTGCCGTGTCTGCTGGCTCACTGGCGGGCGGGCTGGTGAGGGGCAGAAAGGCCAACGGCCGGGGCTAGGGGCAGCCGAAGCTGCCTGTCCCCCACACGTCACGGATTCCAGGCTGTGGAGCCGCTGCTGGGGCTTACAGACCCCAGGGGTGGCCACGGGATTGGTCCTTGCCAGGAGAATGGGAGTCAGGATTGGCGGGGAAAGGAATTGGGTGCCCTCTCTGCCCCATTTCCCTCTTCGGCTGCTGAAATGAAAGGTCAGTGACTTTTGGAGCAGGCAGACCTTCGAGAGGAAGGGCCGCCAGCATGTCACTGAAAGGCTAAGAGGCTAAGAGAGCACGATGGGAGGGGAGGCCCGGAGGCTGAGGTCCACATAAGGACCACGGAGAAGCCAAGTGGCCTGGGGGTTGGTGTGTCCGGGGGTGCTGGGCTTTAGCAGTGGGGGTCCCGGTAAGGTGTGTGGCTCCTGGTGTCGGCTCGTTGGCCCTCCGCCGAGGGTGCGGTGGATGCCGCAGGTGCCTCCCCCAGGTCCCCTTTCCTGCCCTCCCAGAAGCCTCTGCTCCAGAGAGCTGCCCTGGGCTGGATGAGAGCTGCCTCCTCCAGGGGCCACACTCCCCGGGGGCAGCCCACAGCCAGTGGCTGACTGAGCTGGGGAACAAAAAGCCCTAACCTCAAGGCGGGACGCAGTCAGCGGTGCATGGGCACCAAGCTCTGGTGGAATCAGGCTGAAGCGAGTCTCTGGCTGAGCAACCCTCCCCCCGGCTCCTTCCCTGGCCCTGTCCCACCTCCCTCCCTCCCTCCCTTTCTCCTGCAAGCCCTCCCTCCACATCATCAAGGGAGCCCAAATCCTGCTACCCAGCCTCCACTTCTAGGAAACCCGACGGAAGACAGAGGCCCCATCCGTGAGTGTCAAAAGGCGGCCCTTGTGAGAAAACCAGGGATAGAGCCAGACTGAAGCTGGGCCCTTTTCCCAAGCAGAGCCCTGGCGTCAGACCGGCTGAGTCCTTCCGGGGTCTTGCTTTGTTCTCCATCTTCTCGTGAAGACGGCGGGCAGCCAGCCCCCATGAGGCACGGTCGCGGGGCCACCGTGACCCACAGGGCCTCGCCTCCCCCCACCCCTGGGTGGCCCGTGCCCCCTCTTCGGCTCCGGCGGCATCGGCGGAGATGGGGGGGAGGACCCACCTGCACGTGCTGACGCCACACTCCGCGCTGGGGTAACTGCTGTCCCAGTCCCCGCTGCTGCTCGGGGGGTTGGACGGGCCAGGTGAGCGGGGGCCTGAACCACTGGGGAACTCGGAGATGTGAGGGAAGTCCTGCCAAGGGGGAAGGAGGCGGGTGAGCAAGGCAGAGATGATGGGATGCACAGCGCAGGCCGCAAGCAGGGGGCAGGAACTCTCCGTGTCCGCGGGAGTTCATAGGGACACTTCCTCTGGCTTCTACAAAGCCTCCCCTATGCCTCTCTGCCTGGAATGCTTCTTCCTTTTCCCTGCAGAGCACCTTTTGGAAAATTCAACCCTTCTCCTAGCTCCATCTGGGGGGTGGAGGGCTCTGCTTTCAGGGTCTTTCTTTTTCTGGCCTCAGTTTCCCAGTCTGCAAAATGGAGTTGTTGTGCTGAGCCACGTGAGTCTGTGGAATGTTCAGTGGGTCAGGCCTCCAAGGCTTTGGGGAGAGCTGGGGGCCGGGGCTGATCCGGCAGAAGCTGCATGGCCTCAGTGCCTCGGGCCAGAGAGCAGAACTGGATGGAGGATAGGAGAAGGAGAGCCTGGGGTATCCTAAGACTCTGAAGACTGTCTGGGAACTTGTCAACTGTTTGCTGCAGCCAGTACACCTCAGGGAAGGTGTACTAGACCCATTTCACGGGTGTGGTGACTGAGGCTCAGAGAGGTAAGGCGCTGAGGTGGTGCTGCCGGTGAGGGCCTGGGCTGCTATCCAAAACCCCGAGCTGCCTGCCTTCCCCACCCAGGGTCCTGAAGAGCACGTTCCCACTGGGCACTGCTTACCTGAGGCCCTGGAGGTGAGGGGCTCATAGCCAGTTGCACCTGCAGTGCCATGGGAGTGGGCAGGACCGGAGCCTGGGGGCCTGGAGACATGCTGACAGGTGGACTGAGGAGGGCGCCCTGGGCGTGGGGTGGCAGGGGCAGCTGCTGGTGCAGTGGGGGGCTGAGCGGGAAGGAGGGTGGCGGCGGCGAGGACGCGCTGAGGCCCGGCAGCAGGGACTTGGAGCCCAGCGTCCGGGCCAGGCTGGCCGGAGAGGCCCCGCTGCGGAAGGCCTGCAGGTCCGACGGCGTCAGGAAGGAGGCCAGGCCCGGCATGGCATACATGGGCTGCTTGGGTGGCAGCATTTTGGCCGGCGGGTTCGCCTGAGTGCCCTTGGTCTCACCCTGCTCTGGAGAGCTCTGCAAGGAGACAGACACCGGTCACTCTGGAGAAGACGGAGAAGCCAGAACTTGGGCCGTGAGACCCGCTGGGTCTGCTACCCGCTGACATGGTCCATGGCCGGTTCTCTGGCCCCTTGGCGGGGAGCTACGGGCTAACCAGAGGTAATCCCAGGGCCTCGGTGCACTTGGCTCCGACCATCCAACCACCCCCTGCATTAATTCCTGGGGCTCCTCTGCCTGTGAGGAAGCCCAGCCTCCTCAGCCTGGCCTGTGAGGCCGGCCTCATCCAGCCAGGCCATCCTCCATGCTCCTCTCCAGCCTCTATGCCTTTGCCCGTGCTGTTCCCTCAACTTGGAACGCCCTCCCTGCTTGGCCCTTTGCGGCCTGACCCACATGCCTTGTGCTCTGTGACAGCTTCCAGACAATGCACCTACACTCCTCTGGATTTCAGGCCCGCTGCTCAACCCTACTGAATGCCGGGGTCTCGCTGGAAGAATGAAGTGAAACGAAATGCACGTAAAGTGCCGGCATGAGCGTGACATATAGCAGGTGCACGAGAGAAGTGACCCCACCGGGCTTATTCATCCTTTCCAGGAACTAGGGCGCTGACCATTCCCGTGGGCCTCAGCACCCCCCTTATCAGGGCTGGGCCAACGGGCCAGGGTGTTACCTTGGAGACGAGGCTAGCCCTGTAGGCCGCCAGAGCCTTCAGATACTCCTTCTTTGCCGCTTCGGTCTTTCTCTTGTAGGCCTGAAAGATCCAAGACATGGGCAACATTGGGGAGAGGTCAGGCGATCGGCCGGAGGTCCCGCCGCCGGTAGCTAGCATTTGCCTCTGAGCTGGTTCTGCTCCCTGTTCTCCCTGGACGCCCTTGAGAGGGGCCAGGGGCACACGGTCAGTGGGAGAGGAAGCCTGGACTCCAGGCTGGCACGGCTGGACGGACAAGACAGACAGAGATGCTTATTCTTGCTTAACAGAAGAGGAAGCAGGAATCAGAACGGTTAAGCCGCTAGTGAACTCTGCTGGCAAAGAGGGGACCCAGAAGGGCTCTAGCGTCCCAGCTTACAGATGGGCAAACTGAGTCCAGGAGAGACCCCCCACCCCCGCAGGAGGCTGTTCCTGATTTCAGACATTCCAAGTCTGTCATTGGCTCCAGGGCCTCAACGCCCCAAGGGGAGGTCCCTGGAAGGGCCAGACTCACCTGCTTCTGCTCCTCTCCCAAGCTGTCCCACATGGAGGCCACGATTTTGGACACATCCCCGAAGGTGGCACTGGGGTTCTGTCCCTTGATGGCAGCCTGAGTGTCTCTGAAGAAGAGTGCATAGGCTGACACAGGCTTCTGCGGCTCGTTGGGGTCCTTCTTCTTCTTCTTCTTTGGGTTCTTGGTCTTTTTTCCTGGGTCAGTTGAAGGTCTCTTCTCTCCTGACATCTGCACAGGTGAGAGGAGTCAGGAAAGCAGAGACGCCAAGGGCCTCCCCCTACGGGCTCCCCACCCCTGCCTGAGGCACAGGGGATCTTCCTCAGATCTTCCTCCCACCACCTGTCTGTCCGGCTCTGTGCATGGGCCACCCTGGACTCCAGCGCAGGCCACGTGGGCCACACTGCCATGCTCACCGCTCCCTGGTGAGGGAGGCAAAGGACACACACACGTGCACACACACATGCGTGCTCACATGCACACACACACACTCACAAGCACACACGCATGCGCGCTCACATGCACACACACGCGCACTCACATGCACACACATGCTCACAAGCACACACACACGCTCACATGCACACACGCGCGCTCACAAGCACACACGCACACGTGCTGGGTAGGAGCTAGGAACCCTGGAGTTTTTGTTTAACTCATGAATGAAAATCAGCAAGGTGGCAAAGTTGACTCAAAGAAATATGAGAGAAACTGCCCTACAGAGCAATGAACCGATCACCTTTGGGGCTTTTAATCTTTTCTCCTGGGCAGAGGTCATTTGCATCTCTACAGGGAGAACTTAATTTGCCTTTTAATCAGACAAAAATTGTTTACTTCTCTGCCGCTTCTTTCCCAAGGTAACATGTACCTTTACAGAGTGTAGAATCCCTGAATGGGTCATGAGTAATGAATCCTGACAAAGGTACGTTCTCCTAGAGAATATGGGGACTCCCACGCAAGCCTGCAGACAGCGTGCGGTTGGCCATTGAAAGCGTGCACAGCCCTGTGCACGGCCCTATTTCCGAGTTTTGAGGATATCAATTTTTCTTAACCATTCTCCCTTCTTGTGATCACAAATAATCCCCAAAGATGATCCTTAGTCACAGAAGATCGGTGTCTTCCACCAACTTCCAGGTGTGCGAATTGGGGCAGGGGGCTTGGTGCCCGGGGCCCTGTGAAATGACTGGACGGGAAAGAGGTTATGTGACTCGGTGGGTGAGGCCTCACTCGAGACACCTGGCCTTGGAAGCAGGACCACAATCCTGTGAGTGTGCGACTCAGGGCTTGCGGGATGGGAACCATGTAGGGATGCTTGCCACAGACTTCAGTGGGTCGCCAGTAGGACCCTCAGGCCCCACGGGGACCAGGAATTTGGTCAAAGGTCCTGGATCCTACAGTGAAGACGGTCACTTTCTGCACCAAGCAGATGAGGGTGACACCAGGAATTGATAGGGAATTCGTGGGCCCCTGGGCAAGATTCAGGCCTCCATGTCTAAGGGACAGCGAGGGGAAGCTGGTAGCCATGCTGCACCTGTTCCTGCCTCTCTCTGCAGCCAGACTGACGTAACCTCTCTGGGGCCTTGGTTTTCCCATCTGTCAGTCGGAGAGGACAATGGCCCTGACCACACAGGGCCGTCATGAGGATCCCATGGGTTAATGCTGGTGATGTGCTTACAACAGTATTCGGCACCAACAGTGTCTGCTAAATGAAAAAGAAAATAAAAACTGCTCCTGCTTGGCCTACTGTAGAGACCAAGTTGTTTTGGGGATGCAGCCGGACCAGACCCGGAGGCACCCACCCAGCCCAGGCAGTCAGGGCCCCTGCCAGGTCCAAACTGCCCCCCCCCCCGCGTCTGCAGGGCCACCGCGTGGAAAGGGGTGAGAGCCCTGAGGAAGCAGAAGGGGAGCTGGGAGTTGGGGGTCAAGTTTAGATTCTGCCACAGGCTCATTGGGAGAGTCGCTGTGAGCGAGGCCATCCCTGGGCTCTCCGGCCTCTGTTTTCTGCCCCAGTAAAACACGGTGCCTTCCGGAGCCAGGGAGAGTTGTCAGTGCGAAAGAAGGACAAGCCTGGACAGCTGGTGACCTCTCAGCCCTGACGTGTTCTTCAGAGGCAGGATCACCCATGACTCTAGGGATGCTGGGGGGGGGCATGTACCCAGCCGGGGGAGGGGTCAGTTTTGGTGCTGCCCAGGTGTCCTCTGCTGGGCCGCACAGCTTTGTCAGAGTATCTTCTCTTAAAAGGCCAAAGTGACCATAAGATGTGACCCTGAGGATCCTGCCGATGCCATCAATGTCACTGAAATGACCCACTGGCCATTGAGGAATAAGACTTCACGTTTTCACAGGATTCTCTCATCCAGCCCCTGGCCGTGGGTGAGTGTCATCTCTGCTTTATACACAGGCCGTGGGAGTGGACGGACACAGCTTGGCAAGGACGCTGCTAACTTAGCGGCTGCAGCCAGAAATCCCAAATTCCAAGCAGGGCCTTCTCCACTGCCCAGGGGCTCCGGCCGGTGGGCCCTGTTCTACCTGCTGATTTTCTTCCTCTGTGTCCTCCAGCAAAGGACACAGTTGCACTCTTGCGGTCTGGTCTCAACGCGGGTGATGCCTGTTGCCACGCAGGGCCCACGCACCTGCTGACGGAAGGGCATCTTAGGGCCCTGCGTAGCCGCCCTACCTACCTTGAGATGCGCTTCTGATTCCTCCTCCTGAGTTGAACTGGAGGGGGAAGGCGTGGCTGACTTGCTCCCTGGGGGGGACGGGGAGCTGTGGGCGATGCCACTCCGGATGCCCATCTGAGAGATGAGCTGGGACTGGCTGAGGGCGCTCATGTGGCTGGCCAGCATCGCTGGGCGGCCCAGCAGGGGCCCTGGCCGGCCCGAGTCGTAGGCGGCAACTTCCGAGTGGACCATCTCCTGGATCTAAGAGAGGAGAATGGGGCATGGTGAGTTAGAGAGGACCTGCCCGCCACCATCACGTCCACACACGGCAGGACTCAGAGGAGGGACGTGCCGAGGAGAAGGGTGGCCAGCTCCACGTGAGCTGTACTTTCCCAGGCCCGGGTGAGTGTGGCCCTTCTACTCTGACCCTGCGAGACTGGAGCACCTGGGGGCGGCCTACAGCTCCTTGACAGTTTGCCTTCTGTTGAGAGTCACCCCGGACAGCCGGTCAGCAGCTCAGCCCTTGCCAGAGAGCTCAGGCCAGCAGCGAATTGATGGTTTTGTGACATCAAATCCTCCCTCCTGGAACATGTGTGTCTCTTCATTTACTCACTGTGCGGGCCAACAGCAAAGAGTGCAGAGGCTCAAAGCAGACCGCGTTTTGAGGCCTGGTCCAGCTACTTATAAGTTGGGTGACTCTGGCTAAGTTACTTAACCTCTCTGTGCCCGTTTCTTCATCGGAAAAATTCAGATAATAATTAAACCTACCTTCAAGGGTTGGTTAGGATGAAATGTGCCTGGCACCTAGTAAGCCATATATTGTGTAAGGGTTTGTAAAATACATAGAATAAATAAATCTCTCTCTTTTTTTTTAAAGATTTTATTTATTTATTTGACAGAGAGAGAGACAGCGAGAGCGGGAACACAAGCAGGGGGCGTGGGAGAGGGGGAAGCAGGCTTCCCGCCGAGCAGGGAGCCCGATGCGGGGCTCGATCCCAGGACCCTGAGATCATGACCTGAGCCGAAGGCAGACGCTTAACGACTGAGCCACCCAGGCGCCCGAATAAATAAATCTCTTAATAAAGCTATGTACTTCTTTTCCTCTAAGTCAGTAATTTTCGTGTTAAATCTTCCCTATGATATTTCTAACTGGTTATTTTGGGACTATAAGAAAGCTCCTGATTTTTACATACAAGCAGTGCTCACACTAAACACCTATGTGGAACAGTGTGTCCTTTTCACCTAAATATTTTAAATATATACACACACACACACACACTGTGGAGTGAGGCATACCAATCTGCATACTCTTGTAATTATTTTTATTGCCTTGGCACCTGTGTTTATTTTCCCTTTGTTATTTCTGACGCCGAGTAGCTGTGTTTTCCTCGCACGTTTTCTTCATTAGGCAAGCTCATGGATTTTCCCATTTTATTATGTGGGAGGTTTTTTCCTCCTCAAAAGAATCAAATTTCAAATTTGTTTATCACTTCTCCGTTTTCTGATTCCTTAATATCTAATCTTCTGTATCTTTATTAATTACGTCCTCTGATTCTAAAAGATGGGTGACTGTTGTTTCTGCCCCCCCACCCCGATTTTGGTCATGTTTCTAATTCATTCTTTTCATTCTCTACGTTTAGAAATATGTCTAATGCCACGAAGTTGCCTCTGGGCATGACTTTGACATTTCTCATAGACTTCACCATGAAAGATTTTCATTAGTGTTCTCTTCTGTGTGTTTATTTTCTATTTCAGTTTTTATTTTCTTTCATCCAAGAGTTGTTTAAAAAACGTTTTGGAAAAAGAAAGTTTTGAAATTTGTAAGAGGTTCATTTTTTGTTTGTTTCTTTTCCCTTTGCTACTAATTTCTAGTAACACAAGTGATCAAAGGACATCATCTGTACCACTTGTACTTTTGAGACTGTGGTAAGGTTTCCTTTGGGACCGAAATGTGTTTATACTTTGTATCTGCTCCACAGGCCTCAGGAACAGGGTGAGCTTGTGTGCAGATTAACCTGCTCCATTAGTAGCCTCGTGGTATGATTTTGATTCCTTCCTTACTTTTTTGGCACATCTAAGTTGCCTGCCACTTTTCTGCTTCCATCACAATCTTCCTTCAACACTTAAAGTGTTTTGTTTGGGGACTTTGATGTTGTTTTTTATTGCAAAAGGAAAACTCCAGTTACACCTTCATTATGGATTAAATGTTAATATTATTATAAAGCACCTTCCTTTTGCCTTCAATTCAGCGGAGTCTGATCCGAACATCGCCATCCTTGCCTGGATATGTATTTGTTTGAATTTGTCTGGTGTGTCCTCAGTTCTGAGGAACTTTCTTTTATAGGTTTCTCTTCACTTCCATTTTTTGGGGGGGTTATCTTTGGCAAATGCTGTCATTTGTGTTATGTGCTTTTTGAAAGACGGATTTTCATATTTTCCATGGCTACTTTGGGTCCCATACTTTCTTGAGTTACATATATAAGTTAGTTACATAAATACATACTTTTTAAACTGTCTATTTCATCCAGATTTTAGCACTAATAGCATATACCTAGGATAATATTATCATATTTTTAACCTGCTCTATGCTTTTTGTAGTTAAGTTTCCAATTGCAATACTGTGAATGCCTGTTGTTTTTGAAAACTTTCCTTCTCAAAGGTTTATATGTTTTAACTACCCAAAGAACCAGTTCTTATATTAAAAAAAGAAACAATTTGACAAGTTTTCTAGGAATTAAATTTTGCTTTTCTATGAATGTTGACCTCAGGTATCATCAGTGGCTTTTTATGTAGCTTTCAAATTAAAAAAATTTTTTATACTTTCACATTTTCTTTTCTAATAATATTAGTATCTAGGGCAGAGGTTCAAACAGGGACCATTTGCCGAGGAACCTGGCCATGTCTAGAGACGTTTCTGGCTTTCACAACTGGTGTGTGTGTGGAGGTGGTGCTACTAGCATCTAGTGGGTAGAGGCCAGGGATGATGCTGAATGTCCTACAGGCTGTAGAATGCCCCCTACACACACACACGCACACACACACACACTACTAGCATCTAGTGGATAGAGATCAGGGATGCTGCTGAATGACCTACAGGCTGTAGAATGCCCCCTACACACACACACACACACACACACACACACACACACACACACACACACCCAAAGTATTATGTATCCCAAAATGTCAATTGTGCTGAAGTTGAGAACCCTTGCTCTGTAGCTATGATTTTTTTTCCCCGTGGGGAGCATTTTAACTGCATCATATAAATATTTTTATAAATATTCTAGAACTGGAGATTTTATTTTTTTAACCTAAAGTTATTTGGAGAAGAGTCTTTATTTAACGTATCCTTTTGTTATCATGGTCAGAAAACCTGATTCCTAGAATTTTATCTTTTTGGTATTGGGTTTTCATTATGGCTTAGGGTATGATCATTTTTGGTAAAATGTTCCTCTGCATCTGAAATCATGTTTATGCTGTAATATACACATTTCTCTCTGTGTCTATTCAATAAACTGTTTTGACTACTTCAGCTGTGAGATCTCAAGAAAAATGAGTTAAAGCAGCTCCCATGCTCCTGTGTTCCAGTTTCTCTATGGAATTTAAACAGGTTTCCTCACATATATTGATGTGACATTATTCATTCCTATAAATGTTCCAGAATGCTATATTTTCATGATGGCTTCTCCTTCTTAATAAAAAAATCCAGCATCTTCGCCTCAATTAATGTTTTTATGTTAGATCTGACTTTACCTGTGATCCATATCTCTCTTTATTTTTCCATTTTATTATTGTTCTGCATCACTTTAAGTGTGCATCTTGTAAACAGTGTATAGGTAGATTTTGGTTCTGAGCTCTTTTTGTGAAATATATATTTTATTATTATAGCAATCATAGAGAAACCCAAGAAACAGACTTCAAGTGCACTGTTTCAAAGAGTAAAAGATTTTACAAAGAATTCGATTAAAAAATGGACAAAGAACTTGAATAATATTTTGAAGACATACAAGTGGCCAATAGGTTCATGAAAAGGTGCTCAACAGCACTCATCATCAGGGAAATGCAAATCAAAACCACAATGAGATACCATCTCTCATCTGTTAGAATGGCTATTGTCAAAAAGATAAGAGATACAGGGTTGTGAGTTTGGTCCCATCTTGGGCTCAATGCTGGGCATGGAGACTACTAAAAAAAAAAAAAAAGATAAGAGATCAAAGTGTTGGCAAGGCTGTGAAAAAGGGGGACACTTGTGTGCTGTTGGTGGGAATGGAAATTGGAGCAGCTACAATGGAAAACAGTCTGGAGGTTCCTCAAAAAATTAAAAATAGAACTACCATGTGATCCAGCCATACCACTTCTGGGTATTGATCCAAAAGAAATGGAATCACTACCTTCAAGAGATATCTGTGTTCCCGTGTTCACTGCATTATTTACCATAGCCGAGACATGGAAACAACCTTTTATCTTTGAACAGATGAATGGATAGAGAAAATGTGGTACATATGTACACTGTAATTCGACCATAAAAAAGGAGGAAATTCTGCCTTTTGCGACAGTATGGATGGGCCTGGAGGGCAGTATACCAAATGACTTAAGTCAGGCAGAGAAAGACAAAGACTGTAGTTTCTCACTCATGTGGGGGTCTAAAAAAGCCAAACTCAAAGAAAGAGAGAGAGAATGGTGGTTGCCAGGGCCAGGGGCTGGGGAAAATGTGTGAAGGTGGTCAAAGTGTACAAATTTCTAACTGCAGGATGAATAAGTTCCGGGGATCTAATGTACAGCATGGGGATTCTAATTAACAATACCTATTATATACTTGAAAGCTATTAAGAATGTCGATCTTAAAAATTATCACCACACACACACACACACACACACACACACACACACACACAAAGGTAATTATGTGAGGGGATGGAAGTATTGACTAACATTACTGTAATAATAATTGCACAAAATATATGCATGCATCAAATCATGTTGTAGACCTTAAAATTACATATGTTAAATGTTAGTAATATCTCAATAAAGCTGGAAAAAATTTTAACTCTCAAGAAAATAAGAAGAAAATCTCTCCTCTAAAGATCCCTCTTTCCATTTCAACATGTACACACTCTTCCTTCCCTGAATCTTAAACAAGAATCTGCCATTATTTCTTCAAGGACAAAATGGCCTTGGGGTTCTATGTTTAGGACTCGCGTTGTTTTTTTTTTTTCCCCTTCCCAGCAGTGTGCTTAGAATTCTTCAACCAGATCTTC